ACTGTTTGCTTTGAAGAATTTGTATATGATTCAATATAGAATACTTGGACTTATCTGTAGGTAAAAAAAAAAAAAACATTTTTTTTCTAATACAAAATAACTAAATCATGATCAAAATATACTTCTATTTTTCTCTCAGCTGTTTAGAATTATCCCCAATTAAAAATAAAACTATTATGTATGTCATTCATACTTATTCAGCTTGTTTACAAATTTCTTATTATTTTACTATATATTAATTGTCTTTATAGTATACTACAATTATGATCATAAAAAGTTTTCTGTTGAACGTTTTGTTTTATTTTGAGGAATATTATTCAAAATTAGTAGCTGTTTTTTTTTCAAAGATTACCATTATTTATTGAATGTGTTTTCGACGAAGAGTCAAACGTTCTTGTACTTTCAAATTAATATGTAGATCATGCTAGTCTATGAGTTTTAAGCCAACTGTTAACCCACCGTACAAGCCTAGAAATATTATTAATATATTGAGACCGTTATTCCTTTTCGTATCAGTATATCAACATGTTAATGGTGCACAAATTGAAAAGTAATTTGAATAGTCACTTTCAATTTTGCCATGCTTCAATAAATAATTCATCAATTTATATACCGATGGCTATTGATGATGCTGAAGTAAATCGAGTATATATCGAAATATTAAGAAGCGATGAAATATTTTATATACTTTCAATCAAGCTAGACAAATTTTGTAAGCATATTAATTTGTAGAGACATTCAAGTGTTGATAGACGTAAACCATACATAGGTCAACAACCAAGAAAAAGACCTAGTAAAAAGATGAAAATTTTCTAGTATGTATCATCTTGTATTTTTATTTAGATACAGTTTATATTATAAAATAGATATTTACCACGTGATGAAATAGTTTCAGAGGTCTTTTTCTAATCTCAAGGTACTATATTTAATTAAAAAGAATAAATATTCATAAAATATATTCTGGTACGTATACTATCAATCAGAGCTCGAACGAAAGTAAGTGTACTTGTACTTTGAGAAAGGTATGTAGGACATACAGGGTGGTAAATAATATTATTCCAGGGGGGTAACAGTATGATCTCGAATCGGAGATATCATGAATTTTATACCAAATGAAAGCCCGTGAAAAATGGGGTTTAGTGATAGTAAATAGTAAGACTTTGAAGAACTTTCGTGTACCAAATTTTTAAAAACAACGAAATTTTCTTTCAAAAACACGTTAAAAATCATTTTTCATACATTTTGAGACATTGAAAACGAACATTTTTTATGAAAACGAAAGAGAAATGATAACGATGATGATATATGACTATGACTCACACAATAAGATGGTTCTTTGGCGTTCTGTTCTTCTCTCCACGTGATACTAGTTATTTGAAAAATTTTTTCGTTCTCGGACTGTCTGAAAGTTATAGTCGAGTGAAATCTCAGTGTTTTTTCGTTTGTTATTTCAAATGGCTGGCGCTTATGATACCGAACAACAAAGAATGATTGATAGAATTAAATGCATTACTTTCCGAGAAGCTCGTGATGCTGGTGCAACATTTATAAATAGACAATGGATTGCCGACAAAATTCACCGTACGACTCGATTTGTTACAGAATGGTGGGAAAAATCGTGTGACCAATGTTTTGCTGATTATTCGAATGCTGGTCCTAAACTCAAGTTATCGAGAGCTGCTCAGGACATTATTCGTGAAGCAAGTGGTCACCAACGGAAAAGCGGTTCTGTCGTGGCGAAAGAGATTGCAAAGAAACAAAAAGAATATGTTACTCGACAAACAGTTAATAACTACCGTCGTAGGGAAGGATTAAAGCCTTTTCATGTTATTTCAAGACCGTTAAAATCTGAAACTCATATATCAGATCGATTATGGCTCTGTGATTGGTTGAAAGATTGGACTGAAGAAGATTTTCTTCATCTGGCACCATCAGATGAATTTTATGTTTGGACAGTTCGCAAACCAAATTATCAAAATGATAGGATTTGGGCAAAAAGTGTTGAAGATATTGAAGACGATGAAAGGTATCGCGAAATGGTTAAAAACCAAGCGTGTATCGGTATTTTTATCATTTTCACCGCGAAAAAAATGCATTGGGTGATTAAAGACAAAGGTGAATCTTGGACCGGTCAATATTTTCGTGACATTATTTTAATGCAACACGTATTTCCATTCCTCACCGACGAGGAAAACGTAATTGATCTGGATAATGTGATATTTGTTCACGATAAAGCACCGTGTATGCGAGCAAACATGACTCAACATCTGATTAGAGATAACAAAATCGAGTTTTGGGGCAATGATATTTGGCCTGGTAATTCGCCCGATCTCAATGCGGCGGAACATATTGGATCAATAATGAAAGATGAAGTTGAACAAAAAATGTTATCGGAAACTGGACATAATCGATATAGTGAAGACACACTTAAAAAGCACATTGCGGATGTTTTGACGGACATGGAAGAAAATACCGAATTGTTTGAAGCTCTTTTATGTTCGTATCCATCTCGACTTCGTGCAGTAAAGAGTGCTAATGGTCGTCATACTGATTATTGATTGTACTCAATAAATAATAAGAAAATAAACAGTTGTACAACATATAGTTTAGCCCCGAACTTTTTCGATGAACTGATTTTATAATATTTTATGTCGATAAAAATCGTAACGTTTGATAAATTAATACAAGAAAGTTCTTCAAAGTCTTACTATTTACTATCACTAAACCCCATTTTTCACGAGCTTTCATTTGGTATAAAATTCATGATATCTCCGATTCGAGATCATAGTGTTACCCCCCTGGAATAATATTATTTACCACCCTGTACACTTATAAATTGAGGTCTTATTTGAATAGATTGAAACAATTTTAGATGGTTCAACGAACTTTTTTTAAAATAGACTTTCATGTTCGACGTATAAAATTTAAAAAAAAAACACTTTCAACCAGAATATTCTAAGCCGACTCAGATGAACATTATCCTTTATGGATCTTCTTCATTTCGAAGAAATTTAACAGATTACAAAAGACGATTTTTACAAGAATTCTATAGTAATTTCATTAACATACTCAAGAAAATAGTTGAATTAATACCTTATTTCCATCTAACTTGCTAACAGATGGTGTCATAATTATACTAAAAAATTTACTAGCGTAATCATCATTATACAGATCACATTTTATATTTATGCATCACATAAAAATACAAAACAAATACTTTTTTTTTTCGTACTTAAATACAGGTATAATTATAAAAGCAAATATACTTGTTCAAAGACAAGTACAAGTAAAATACTTTTACTTGCTGTATACTTGTACTTCTTCTAGCTCTTCTATCAATTTTTGATTATCAAGAAATTGATTTGCTGATATTATACTTAAGAGAAAATTTAAGTAGATGTATAATTCTGTCTTCTATTGATGAACAGGATTTTAAATTAAGAAAACAATTTTTTGATATATATTAATTGTATCTGTAAAGAATTTTATAACAAATCGATTTAAATCGATACAAATATTTTAAGAAGATTTCTTTCATTGGCGAAAACATTTCTGGTGTGAACAGCAAATATATAAAGCAAAACAAGAAAGAGAAAATGGTCGTCACTTTAAAGAATATCCTGTCAATTTTTCTTCAAACATCAGTATTGTTTCATCATCACGTATAAAATAATATGCAAACCGAACGGATAGAATTTCTTTTAAAACAACAATCATCAACATATTTTGAATATTGAATTGTTATTCATGAACATAGACATGATAATGATGGTGAATATTGAACTTGTAATTGTTCAAATATGAATTCTGTTGGAAAAGATACCATCCTAGAATAGTTCTGTGAATTTAATCCAGTAATAGTTATTATAACTATAAATACCACGACAAAAAAAATATAATATAAAAGCAAGTAGCTATTCTATTAATGTTGTAGAATTACTATTTCGTCAATTGTTTGTGAAGTTTCTGTTAAACGAATTTTTCGTGCATTATAATAATACAGGTTGATTGTCTGAATAGCGTGTTGAAGTTAATGGAAATAAATTGGAATTTTATGATAATTATCTTAGAATACAAATAAAGACAAAAGAAAATTTTATTCACCATTAATCATTATACATGTAAATGAACGAGATGAAAATTTCAATGTAATAATTATAACTCTAAAGGGGCATTGTATGGGAAAGTATTCTTCTAGTTTCAAAAGGTCTTAGGTAATGACTGCATTCCCATCTCGAACGCGAGGTATTATATCAAGTAGTTCCCTCGTTAGTTAACTTGGGTGTCGGTACCAAGAAGAAGTACACGCACACCCACAATCACTCACAAACTACCAGTAATTATTCAGTAATTTTTCGAAATAATTGAATAGTTTTTTCATTATTTGATTCAATAGACATTTCTCTATTCAAAAATATTAAAAAATCAATATGTTAATATATATATAGAGGTTAGCAATAAAGGAAACTCTTGAGATGACTGAAAACCTGCTCGAATAAGCGATTTTCGCTATATTAGTCACTTAAGAAAATCCACGAAGACTATTATCAAGACATGATATCTTATCTTTTTCATTAATATTCAGCAGATTTCAGTCAGAAAAGTGCTCTTTAAGTCAAAATTAATAACACGTTTGGAATCAACACCAAAAACTGAGCAGACTTATTATTATTCCAATTCTTCTTGCGAACTTTTTTCCTCGAAGAATACATCAATGACCCATCAGGATCTAGTCAAAAATATGGTTTAACAGCAATTTTTTCATCGTAGCAGTCGCAGTTACTAATTTTGCTTGATTTAAGATTAGATCACTTGATTTGACGAACCCATATAGTTTTCGTTGAAATTTCACGAAAACACTTGGCAATCATCTCTTGTCAGATCTATGCGCACGTAATGCGTATGTGAGTTTAACTGTGTGCACGCGCCAAAAAAAAGAGACGAAAATTCTTTCATTGCGATTTATTTAATAGAAAGAAAAAAATAGCATTGTAACGAGTTTATTCGAGAGAAAATCGTTGTATTTGATGATTATGCCGATCGACGACATAGAGATGGCCATGACTATCGAATGATAAACCCATAGGATTGTGTAACTCATCTGCTACTAACATTTCCAAATTTGCAGCTACAATGACAGTACCTTGTGTTGCTCCTTGGGGCCAACGCGTTATTCGAAGATTACCGTACTCTGCTACATAGACGGTACCCAACGTATCAACGAACAGCCCTTGCGGATTGCGTAATTGTGTCAGAGCCGACCCGGCGCCTTGGCCCCCCGCAACAATAATTCCTTCTGTTGCACTTTTATTCCATTTCATCACACGATGATTGCCATCCGACACGTAGACAGTCTGTTGTCGGTCAACAAAGATGTACGTTGGATAATGGAGTTGATTCAGGTCAGCACCTGAGCCATGGCCACCAGCCACAATAGTTTCACTCTTGCTTTCCATTTGATATCGTCTCACTTCATGTTTTTCATCGTCAGAGATGTAAAGATATCTCTGATCATCCATGGCCAGTCCCCAACAACGAATATTGTCCACGAGAATTTCTCCTTTTGTAGTGCCATTATGACGAGACCATTGCATGATTCGTCGATTCTCTCGATCGCAGACAATAAAGCTATCCGTCGCTTTGTCGATTAACATGTCAGTTGGATAATTCAATTGATCCAATCGATTTCCTTTACCATGACCACCAGCTACTACTTGTCCATTAGTCTCACCCATCTTCCATTGGATGATACGATGATTCCACCAGTCAGCGATGATCATCGTCTGATCATCATCAAGAAAGAGACCGAACGGGTTGCTGAGTTGATTGATTTCAATGCCCCATCCATTGCCTCCAGCAACAGTCACCGCTTTCTTTGTCCAGCGTGCATCGACTGGAATATTGGGAATCACTGCAATGGACGAAAAAAGCAAAGGAATTAGCATGGACGTGAGGTTATGAAGGGTGTAAGTGAGACGAAAAAGAATATCCAAATCCTCAAGGTAAATGAAAATTGCAAAAAACCCATGAATTCGAAAGATTTCACAAAAATGAAGGTATTGGAAGAATTCAAGAAGTTGAAAGTACTATGAGAACCTAGAAAATCCGATGATCTGAGAGAATTAAGAAAACATAAGGACTTTAAAGAACAGCTGAGATAGAAAGACACTAGGAGATTGGAGAGTTCTAAAAATATTCAAGATATTTGAAGAAAACTGAGAACTCGAAGTTCAAAGAGAACTAAGAGTTCGAAAGTCTCTTGAAGATCAAAGGAAGCCAAAAAGGTCTAGAAATATAAGATATGCTTTTGGTACAGAGAGTATTGAGTGTAGGGCTAAAGATGAAGAGAAACATCTAAAACACGTTCAAAATAGAACAGAAGCAGAAACACCGTATTCTGACGTGTGTTTTATAACAACTGAAATCAACTTTTTGTTTCAAATTCAAACAAAAAATTTTCTGTTAAAAGGCACTATTATGAGTTAGTATCCAACGAATATGAACCTTAGATTTCGTTTTATAGATGTCAAAAAGAAACAAAGCAAACTTCAATAGTGACGAAAAATAGCCACGATAAGGATTACTGTATTACTTGTTTTTTTCTTTTTTTTTGATAAAGATCAAGTTCCTCGTACTAAAATATTGCTGATTCTATCATTATAGCCTTTAGCTAATTGCAGAATATTTCATCACACAAAGCAACTATATATGCCTAATTAAAAGTTAGCATTTAGCAGGACAAGAGCTGTTAATATGAAGCTTACCTCGCTGGTGAATTGTAGTCTTAGTTTCAGTTGCATTTGTAATTGTAGTATTCATCACTATTCATGATCATGGAATATTGATGTAAGCAAAGCAAATAATTATAGGTCTGATATAGAATTGTGATATAGAGCTTGGTGCATTCAAGTCTTATGTAAAGCCTACGCAGTATTAAAAAATAGCGACATCCTTAAATTGTCTGATCAGAGCTTGGTTTTTACTTTCAAAAAACTGGTTTTTGGTAGAAAACTTCTGTGTACATCAGACATCGATACCGAATCCAGTGAAACTGAGCAGAATCCGACGAGATGGATTACACTCGCCACTTCTGATTTCTTGATATTGAGAAATTTCGAGAACAGAGCAGACACTCGCAGGACAATGAAAATATTATCTATTCTAGGGCATCATATAGATTGTTCATCTGCTTCATATCACTAGTCTTATGCTATATGGAACAAAGAATTAAAAGTAAGAAAATTTATCTGACAAATAATTTAGGCAAGCATTTCGAGGTCTAAAGGAAAGGTTGTCCTGCTCAATATTCATCATTTTTTTTGTATTTTGAATACAAACAAAGAGTTTTATGTGCTGTCTGATATTGCAGTACAAGATCGTTATTCAAAGTATGAAGTTTGTTATTTTAACCTCTCACATAAATAACTCACCTGTCAGTGGATTTATCCAAGGTCATTAGAATATTCTTCTGTTACATTAGCAATATGAATGAGATAAATTTGAAGGAATATTTGAAAAAAACATAATAATATCGTAGAGATAAATTATTACGAACTATTTCTTAGCTCTCGTCATCGGACAATTTGAATTTTTACATTCTTCTCTTAAAAAAGATTTCTCAAATGTTTGATGCATTCAAGCATAGTCTCCAAACAAAGTAGTCGCATCAAGTGTAGTTATTCAAGTTTCATTTTGTGCTTATAAGTATGTAATTGAGACAACTGAGTCAATGGTGCTATAAGCTGTAGAAAAGAAAAGTACATGCACAACTGAATAATTGGTCATTAGTAGCATATTTGTCTCATTTAAACGCTAAGACTGTCTTGTGCTCTAGTGGTTACTGTGTCATAAGTAAATGATTATTCTTTGATTTTATATTCTTAATCATTAGAAACATGATAGAGAGACTAATAGAGCGTTTTCTTTCATACCAATTGTAAATCACTGCTATTTTGAACAAATTTGCCGTGTGAACACGATGTTCACAAGAATCAGTTGACTATGTATCGAAAACTGTATCTCAAGTGAAGCGAAGTACAAAAGAATTGATATAAATAAAAGAATATTCAAGAATTTGATACATTTGACAGAATCGAATCGAATGATCATTTTTTGTAATTGGCTTCGATTTCTGATTTGCACTAGAAAGTTCATTGTATCTTCATGCCTTGCTAGATAAAGCTGCAAACAGACTTTGCACTTCAGAGTTATGAATATGACTCGTCAGAATAGACGAGGCTTTTCTTCACTAATTTTAAAACTCATTTCGTCTCCTTCACACTTTTTCTATATTTTTCAAAGATTGTTTGGCTTTCTTCCATCGTTTCCATACTAACATGAATAGCACATGTCAGGGTATGTGAAGGATGAAGAGATACTTCTAAAAAAGATTCGAGTTGCACTGGATGCTGTTGTTCACTGTTTGTTCCCTTACTTGTTATTGGTGGACATGTTCGTTGATTGATCATCGATAATGGGTAGCAAACAGGAAGATTATGACATCTTGGATGGTTGACACAGATATGATCAGGTTTATTGCAAGTTTTGTTTGAGCCTTTGCATGTATCTAGATCAGAACAAGTTACCCATTGAAAACCGCAAATACCCGTGTCAACAGAATCTGCCATATGGAAACAAGCACACGCACTATTCGACGAACATCGAGCATATTGAGATAGCCCATGACATGTTTGAGATTTCACTCGAACTATATCGATATACTAAATTAATAGCACGGTATGTAAAGCAAAAGAAGAAGCATACCTGCAAGACTTAAATGGAAGATTAATCAACGATAGACGAATAGAAAAATAAAATGTTCTAGAATTACCTGAATAGAACGAACACAAAACAACGAATTACTATTGAGACCATCGCTTGTATTAAAATGAGATAGAATAGTGACAGTATCGATTTTTATACCGAATACACAGGCAATGATTTTTGCATTCACAGAAAGTTAAGAACCACACATCATTATCTTTCGATAAATTGAAATTCGATATTACTTCAATGCTTTTTTAAATACTTATTTTTTCTCCAGAAAAGTAATCTTTATAGAAAAAAAGTGCGATAAAAGCAACAAGCGATTACTTATGCGGCACAGGCATTCGATAGGTTTGTGTCGTCATTCTAAATATGAATCTTATTGTTGTCAATTAATGACTCACTTATGTAACAACGACTTAGAATAACTTCAAGGACATTTCTTTTAATATTCATAGTTTTTATTCAAAGCAACTTACATAAGTCCGTATCTTGATCAAATCAAAGTCACCATCCATAGTCAGTCACACTCAATTGTACTTTGGACTGTGTGTTCATCTTATCTTAAGAGATTCTTTCTTGAACTTTTATCTTCAAATCTCATTTCTGACATAAACATATCAAATTTAAGAAAAAACTCTTCTTTAAAACTAGTGGCGTAGCCATCGATGGAGTCGAGATTGGCATTGTCCGCGAGTAAACAAGCTTTTCCAATGGTAAAGCAGATTGCTGTTCTCATGATAGAATTTGTTTTGATCGCTTGCTCCCTCCAGGAAAAGTATTTCTAGTTACAGCACCATTCAAAAACGATCTCTCTAGCAAAAAGTTCATGCTCAGTCGATGTATTGTTCTTTCAAATCAGAAATTTGGCTACAGGAGTTCTCTCTGTTATCTTGTCAACATCATTCTATTGTTATCGTTCACTATCAAACAGAAAGTCAAATCAAAGATGTTGGTGTGAATAAAAGATTTTATATTCATCAAGGTCTAGACGACAGCTACAATCACTCTTCTTAAGCTATTTACTATCCAGATCAGTAAGATCGAAAACTAACTGTTGTCACCCAGAGAGATGAATCCTCATCGTGAAGGTCTTCTCAAGCATTTAACACATTGGCCGATACCTTGATAGCTTTGATTTACGTCTAAAATATGCCATTGTGATCAGACAGTTTTTGCAGTCATGCACAAACATTTCTCCGAATGGTGAAGGGTTTTGCCGTTACATACATAGATGATAGACTTGTGAAGCTTCGTCCTATTACCCTTAACAATTCCTCTGAGATCTTAAAGCTTTCACTGCTAACTAAACACCTGACACAATGGTATTAAGGATGTGAGTATGGCTGTAGTGGAAAAGAACACCCACACCCAACATGAATTCTATGAAACCTAAAAATACATGAAGAATTCTTTAAAAATCTAATAATAAAGACACTTTGAAAGTGAAACATTTTTAGCATTTACTCATGCTTTATTAATTATCATTTATCTCCGATATAATGAAAGTTATAGCTTCGAGTTCTTTCTTGATTTATTACAAAAATGACTATAATCATCATCCTCTTTGGCACAGAATAGTTTCAAATGCATCATGAAAAGAATTTTCCTGCATTAGACATTGAGAATTTGTCAGAGCTGTCCTATTTAATGCTAATACATCCTAGTTTAAATCTTATTTAATTTTGTATTAAACTTGATATTGATGTTTCTTTGAATTATCAATAGTATGAAAAGATACTTTATTGCATTCTATATGTAACCTAAGGTTCAATACAACATGAGCGGATGACAAAAGAACGCCTCTATACAAGCATTCGGTACCTTGGCACGTGAATATTATTATAAAGCATATGTAATGAATCGAAAAAAATCCAGAAATATTTCAATGGTTTAACGATTACTTTTTCTGGATTTCACTTCCTATAACTTTGACTTTTCTTTGTTTTGAATCAGTTTTTTATAACAATATTTTCTTTCTTAAAAATATGCTCAAGAAATAATGCGGATAATTATAAATTAAATATTGTACAAAGCCATAAAAGCTAAAACTCGATAAAAGTCTTTTTGTTGACAGTGAAAAATTCATATACATAAATCGTTTTGATTAGTATTTACAATCAACTACCAATACAATATCATCATGCGTGATAGAGATTAAAAAACTACGTAATACACA